CGGCCCGGGAGAATTTAAGGGCTCTCCCTTTTTGTGCTTCGCCATTTAATATGTCCCTTGCTCTAATTATAGAAGAGATTTATAGGATCTGTGGGGTTTCTTTGTGTGTAGGCGTGTGTTATGGTTCCAGACATGCAGCTACTGAAAGTGTAGGTGGAATTTAACATAATGTACATTTATGAAGGTTGCTAGGCCAAATATGACCAATGACAACGTAACGTTGGGGCAGAAGGTGGGATTAGGAGCAGTAGAATAAAAAGAAGACTGGGAAGTTCTGTTTCAGTAGAAATCTTCAAAGAGAGCAAGCATTTCTAGCATACTGAAGACTTCAACCAAAACAGACTCTGTTTTTCATTAATTTGTGCACGTCAATTAGGCAGTGAAATTTTCTTCTTCTTGTTTTAGGGAGTGGCTGTTTACCAGCAGCACACCCACATATCATGCCACGTCACATTTGAGGTAATTCCTTCTTCAGTGCTGGTTTGTAAACACAGCAAATCCTGTTGGCAGTGTGTAGGTGGCTATTTTGGTTCTGTCCCAGTAGGTATATACCAGCAAAACCAGAAGTGTGCTGCAGGGAGAGTGATGTACCGCAGAGAATGCTTCAGGTTTTGATCTGAACCATCTGTGTGTTATGCCTTTGGGCTCAGTGGTTCAGAACCATTTTTTTTTTTTTTTTTGTGAAAGCTGATCTTGGATTACAAAGGAATTTGGGGTTTTGATAACATTTGTATGAATTGTTTTCTCAACAGTTTCCATATGCATGGATATCACCTGAATCTTAACGAGAGCTTAAATTGCGTGTAAACCGACTGTAACCATGAGTGGCTCCAAGCCCGATATTCTCTGGGCCCCGCATCACGTCGACAGATTTGTTGTGTGTGATTCGGAGTTGAGCCTTTATCATATTGACTCTGCTGTAAGTTCAGAACTCAAGGCAGGGTCCTTGCGGCTGTCGGAAGAAACTACAGCTACGCTCCTGTCGATAAATTCGGATACGCCGTATATGAAATGCGTGGCTTGGTATCCGAAGTACGATCCTGAGTGTCTCCTCGCCGTCGGGCAGGCCAACGGTCGGGTGGTACTTACCAGCCTCGGGCAAGACCACAACTCGAAATCTAAAGATTTGATAGGCAAAGAGTTTGTTCCCAAACACGCACGGCAATGCAACACCCTCGCCTGGAACCCGCTGGATAGTAATTGGCTCGCTGCCGGGCTGGATAAACATCGGGCTGACTTTTCGGTGTTGATCTGGGATATCAGTAGCAAATATGCCCCCGAGACTGCGGTTGCTACGGAGAAAGTAAGACTTTCGGCAGGAGATCCGGAAGCGGGACTGGTAGTCACAAAGCCGCTGTATGAATTAGGACAGAACGATGCTTGTCTCTCTCTCTGTTGGCTTCCACGAGACCAGAAGCTGCTTTTAGCTGGAATGCATCGAAATCTGGCCATTTTTGACCTGAGGAACACAAGCCAGAAAATATTTGTAAACACCAAGGCTGTCCAGGGAGTGACTGTCGATCCCTATTTCCACGATCGCGTCGCTTCCTTCTATGAAGGTCAGGTTGCCATATGGGATTTGAGAAAGTTTGAAAAGCCCGTTTTGACTTTGACGGAGCAACCGAAACCCTTAACAAAAGTGGCGTGGTGTCCCACGAGAACTGGACTCTTGGCTACTTTAACAAGGGACAGCAATATCATTAGGCTGTATGACATGCAGCATACTCCCACCCCTATTGGAGATGAAACTGAGCCGACAATAATTGAAAGAAGCGTCCAGCCGTGTGAAAACTACATTGCCTCGTTTGCCTGGCACCCCACGAGTCAAAATCGAATGGTAGTGGTGACTCCCAACAGGACTATGTCCGACTTCACTGTTTTTGAAAGGATTTCTCTTGCGTGGAGTCCAGTGACATCGCTGATGTGGGCTTGTGGGCGACATTTATATGAGTGTACGGAAGAAGGGAAGGCCAGTTCCTTGGAAAAAGACATAGCGACCAAAATGCGGCTCCGAGCTCTGTCCAGGTATGGCCTTGATACTGAACAAGTGTGGAGAAATCACCTCCTGGCTGGAAATGAAGATCCTCAGCTGAAATCACTTTGGTACACTCTGCACTATATCCTTTATTTTACTGTAGTTGATATCCTAAAGATATATGTAAACCAGTTACGTAAAAGGCATGAAAATCTTCAACTATAATGCAACATCCTGTAAGTACTTTGCCTCTGTTAATAGGATGTGACTTTAAATGTGTATTGAATTTATTTTTTTTCCAAACGCTTGGGAAACATTAAGCTTCCTATACTTGAAAATACTTATGAAGCAGTATACTGAAGATATGGATCAAAAACTTACAGGAAACAAAGGCCCCTTAGTTTATGCTGGCATTAAAACAATTGTGAAGTCATCTTTGGGTAAGAATGTTCCCATTTTGGTAACTTACGTTGTAGTATGTTTACAGAATGACGCACTCCTGGGTTTGTCTTTAAGAGCTGTTGAGAGAGGCTAGTTAGAATTACAGAAACAATTTATTTCTGTTTGTGGTTTAATATATGTGAGCAGTTTATATCACAGTAATTTCCAGAATTTTCAGTATTTTTGGAAGGTCGATAATCATAAAAAAGCATCTGCAGAGGCAAGTCTTTAGCTGAATTATTTCAAACGTTTGGCTTCTGACTAAAGCGCTGAAAATCCTTGTTCCCCAAATAATTATTATATAAAAGCTGACTTTCCTGTAGTCGTTGCTAATGTGTGAAGTACGTTGGTATAACTGTGCTGAAATAAGCTGACTTGTAACTTGTAGTAATCACCCCTGGTGCGTCACATTATGCCTCTCTTGCTCGGTGAAAGTTTTATCAGTAAATCTGTTATTTGAACCTTTCCTTCACTGTGTGTATTATTCATATTTATGTTTTGTGTAAAAATAAACCCAACTCCTCAGTGGTGAGAGCTTCCAGCATGTTGATGCTTACTGAGGAGAACTGGTAGAGCAGGTGCTTGGCTGTTTGTCAGGTATTTTCAGACTGAACGTACAGATAATTCCTGTCAACTGGAACGGGAACCTCCAAACCCTTAGGAGACAGAGATAAAGAAAAAGCCGTAGTGAGGAGTATGTGCCAAATTTAGATGCACAATTTTTAGCAGATCAAACTAACGTGGTGCATGTTGCTCCTTACTGTGGAGTTTTTAGTGAAGCTCATTTAAAGTACTAAAATACTATACTCAGCTTTTGTACTCTGCTGACTGATTGAAATGAACGTGGTGTGTTGCGACTGCAATTTAAATTGGGATTTAAGCATAACTTGTCTTATTTCCCATTTGTAGGAACAACAGAGAACCTCAGGCACAGCCGGAGCGGATCCGATAGACAGGCAGATATTATTCAGTATCTGAGTGAGGAGAGATCCTTGGCTTTGCAGCTCTGTGGGTGGATAAAGAAGGGAACAGACTTAGATGTGGAACCTTTCTTAAATTCATTGGAACAGGAAGGAGACTGGGAGCGAGCTGCTGCTGTAGCACTTTTCAACTTGGACATACGGCGAGCAATACAAATTCTGAATAAAGGGGCTTCTTCGGGAAAAGGTGCGTATTGTCTTTAGTGTCTTCTGTTTTAGCACGGCCACCATAGTGGATTTTTTTTTTTTTGTAAGCAGATTTATGGAAGATAGTGTGGAAAAGATGCCTGTTGTCCTATAAAATAGTTACTCGAAGCAGTTGTATTGGAGCCTGAGAATCTGACAAATCCTGGTCCTTCACTCTCAAATTATCACGTGCCTCACTGTCTAGGTAAAATAGGTTATATGTTTCAGACTTTTCTATTTATACATATCCTGAGGGTGTTACACTCAGAACTAGTGGGATTCTTTTATTTTAATGGCTTTGTGTCCTGGTTAGATGTCATGTTTATCTGCTTCCATCCAGCTGCGTGCAGCTGTCCACCAGTGCGATGGCTGTGGAGTAGCTGAAATGTAATATTTGGGGTCTGCAGAAAACATTTATTTTGGAGCAGTATTTGGTAAGAGTTGAAAATGTATGAGGGAAAAGATAGTGGAGACAGGACATGAAGGTATTTTTGTTCTGTTTCCTTGCCAGTACTCCTCCTACAACTGCAATTTACATCTGGGTTCTTATATGAAATCGGAGAGATTATCTTGCCCATGAAAAGGGTAGGTAAGACAGGAAAGGCGCTGTTAAGGTTCTTTTAGTTTTAATGCTGCCCCTTTTTGGTGGGGGGAACCGTGTGTGTGCTTTCCATAGGCAAGGTTTAGAGTGGAGACACACTAACTTCAAATTCAAAAATAGGATTGAACTTGCTGACAGAATGAATCCTTAGACACACAGATTGAATGTGTTTAGGGAGCTTGTGGACTTGAAGCTGCTGTATGCAGTTGTCGTCCTCCAGCCGAGCCTGCGAAGCGATGGCTGTATTTTCATATCCACAAGAACTGAAACGACAGGATTGTGTTATGGTAATGACATTTTTTTTTTTTTATGAGAGCGATAGGAACACATTTAGCAGTTCAAAACTTCTTCACAATACCAGGACCAGTACGATGTCACCTGTAGTATAACTCAGGCTGTCGTGTGTGTGGGCTTGTGACACTTAAAGCTCTTAACTCACCTCAACAGAGGCATTTAAGTCAGAAACTAATAAATACCAGAGTATGTACATTTATTTTAGGTACTGTTAATTCTCCTGCATTTTGCCTTGCATCCTGACAAAACATTCTGTTTCAAACTGATGCCCTCAATTACAGTTTTAATCAGATTTCTTTTTTTGTTTAGTCCTTGACTATTGTTTCACTGATTGCTTTTAATAAATCAGGTGATCTGAACCTTAACGTAGTAGCGATGGCTCTGTCGGGCTACACAGATGAGAAGAACTCGCTTTGGAGAGAAATGTGCAGTACTCTAAGACTGCAGCTGAACAATCCCTACTTGTGTGCTATGTTTGCTTTCCTGACAAGTGAATCTGGTTCATATGATGGTGTTTTGGTGAGTAAATTTCTGTTATGTTAAAATTCTTTTTAAGTAATAGGTGTGCATATATGTATATACACATTATATGCTATAAACTCCACGAATTAATCAGATTCCAGTGTATTATTTTCTCCTGCTGCTGGCAGATAACATTTTTTCCTGCTAAAAAATCCTCTCATGTTGGTGAAGGTTAAGTAAGTGAACAAAACATGCGTAAGCAGCCGAAATAGCCAGTATAGTTCAAATATTTTTCAGAGGAAATTCTTTTTAACATGGAGTTGTTAAACTACCAGGAATGCATTATCAAAATGACAGATCATAAGGTGTGGGTTTTTTAATTTTTGTTTTTCCTTCAGTAAGACATGTTGAAGTTTGCATAAAAAAGATTTTGCCAAGCACGTGTCCTTCTTTTGGCACTGTCAGTCACAATATCGGGAGGGAAAAATACAGACACAGCTGAGTACCAGCATTAAGTTAGTCAAGTTTTTTTTTCTTCAGTGTCGTATCTAGTAAAAAGATGTAAAAGCAGAAAGGAAATAGTATTGAATTGCTGCACCTTTGTGAGAAAACCTGTGTTCTGGGTGTTTGGAGTTAGTTTTTGATCGTTTTTCTTTTAGTTTGTTTTGTTTATTAACTTTCAATTGTAACTTTGGGAAGGAATTGAAGGGTTAGGTTGGTTACTTTGTGAATATGGTAAATGACAGTTTGTTTCTCTGCCCTCTGTGACTTGGTCCTACCCTTGGCTGTATGTACTAGAAGCACTAAGCCCCAACTCCTCATGACCTGACAATTTTCTTTTTCTAGAATTTCATAAACCACGTGGGATGGGTTGTACCAGGCTTTGCTGCTGTTTGACTAGATTGTTCCGGCAGCCTTGCTCTGATACCTTTATCTGGATATAAACGGTTAATCTGATATTTAGTGTTAGCTTTCTTCAGCTGTGATGTTTTCTTTGTACGTAATCGATTTCATAATAGTGCACAGGGTCTGACTTTGTTTTGATAAATGAAACCCAATATTGAAAAACACATTCTGACAATGTTGAAAAAGTGGAAACTTGCAAGTGATGATAGTATTCCCATTTTTCTCTCTTTAGTACGAAAATAATGTAGCTGTACGAGACAGAGTGGCGTTTGCTTGCAAGTTCCTCAATGATGCTCAGGTGAGTTTGTGGTTCCACATTTAAGCAAACTGTTATTCAGAGCTTTAGGGCTTTATTTCGGGGCAGAAGAAACTCTGGGGTAGAGGGGTGAACAGTGGAAGCATTCGTGAGGGAGCTGGATTTTCTCATCACAGTAGGGTGTAAGATAATGGTGTAATCGAGTCTTTGCTATGTACTTTCAGCTTGATTTGAGGATAGTTTTTTGTGTTTTTTTAAATTTTTCTAATATTTTTTAATTAGTATTCTTGCATACTAGTTTGCTCACTGCTGTTGCATTACTTGTATATCTGTTTTACGGGAGAGTATTTGTACTTACTTAGTCTTCATTTGCAGATATTTACCTTCTCTTGAATCAAAGCTCGGTTTTACAGCATGTTTTCTTTGAAATTCACTGTAATATTTAACACTCTTTGATTTCCCTATCAGGGGACCTAAAGTTTGCTGAGAAATCACTAAATTCTTGCAGTGTAGTGGATACAGCCATATAACTTGTCCTGCAAAACATATAGCGAGCAACATACCCTGTTAGCAGCAGAAACTCTTAAAAAAGTTATTCAAATAAGGAAGAGTTTTGTCACATGCCCACATAAATGAGTTAGGCAAGGATGAACAGATGGCAAAAGTTAAGTAAACTCGTCTTTTATAGCTGAACAGGTTTATTGAAAAGCTGACAAATGAAATGAAAGAGGCTGGGAACTTGGAGGGAATACTGTTAACGGGGCTGACAAAAGATGGAGTCGACTTGATGGAAAGTTATGTTGACAGAACGGGAGATGTCCAGACAGCGAGCTACTGTATGCTCCAGGTTAGTGTTTCGCTCAAAAATAAGTCTTTACAGAGAACTAAACGTAGTTTTCTCCAGCAGTGTAGTATTGCATCTTGTGAACTAAAAAGTATTTTCTGTAATAAATTGTGATTATATATACTCTGCTTGCGTTGTGGAATCATCTGAAACACTCAGTGTTAACTGTGAACGTGGATTTCTGTGTTTGAGATCGCTCGAGGAAATAGCAAGGGGAACAGGCAAAAAGAAAACAGGGCCCTTTTCACTGTTTAAATGGGAAATACCCGTTCCCCTGCTTATTGCTGGGGTGTATCCTGACAGGTTAGTTTTTTCTGGTTTTGCTTCCAAAATTTTGACAGAGAACTGAGGCGAGGTTATTTGTTTGTCTGTAGGCATTGGGTTGGTTTGGGTGTTTTAAGATGGACTTGTCTTGGCCCCTTTGTCTGATAGACAGGAGTTTTTAGGAGGATGTGGAAGCAAAAGTATTTTCAACCAGAGAGGCAGACAAGAATATCTTTATCAAACTCCCGTTACAGTTTAATAGAAAATTAATCTTTTGCTAAACAACTTACGTTGTATTACTTCCCGTACCTTGCAGTACACTTTGTAAAACCTTTTGAAAAAATCAGTGATAGAGATTGAGATGCATTTTGTATCTTCAGTGCGTGTTTGACATTTTCCCTGCTTGCTCTAGGGTTCTCCACTGGATGTACTTAAGGACGAGAGAGTTCAGTACTGGATCGAGAACTACAGGAATCTTTTAGATGCTTGGAGATTTTGGCATAAACGTGCAGAATTTGATATCCATAGGAGTAAGCTGGATCCCAGTTCAAAACCTTTAGCACAGGTAAGTGTAATTCTTGTATGAAGTACGACCAGTCCAGAAAGGAAGGTGACGTGGTACTTGTGCAGAAACACAGGTGCTGCCTGCACCTTGGCTTTCGTGAGGATTTGGTTAAGGCTGCCCTAAGAAAGCAGGTTTTTTTTTTTCAAAATATATTTTTAGAAAGACCCTGATAACTGTTTGATCAGAGAGTACAGAAGTATGGTAACCAGATCGACATTTCTTCATATCTAATCTAGGAAATCAGTTCTGTACCATTTTATTTGTGGGTTGTTTTTTTTTTCTTAAGGCTTTTTCTTTCCAATAACAGGCTGCCTTTGAGAAACTGTAACTTTCCAACATTTTTTCTGGGGAAAATAATGTTTTTTTTTCCCCTTCCATGTTGAAAAACAAAATCAGAGATGTATCGTCTAGCTGAATTCAGTATCAAGGTTAGAACGATGCTGAAACCAGGGAGTTGAACCAAGAACTAGTTCAAATTGACTTTGTTTTTGTTGAAGCAAATCTCAAAGCTAAGTTGAAGCTCATGAACCTTAAACCGAAAGTGAAGAGCAGCGACTTCTGTTATCAGTTCTGAACATAAGCTTAAACAGAATAGCGCCCTGACACAAGTGCCACCTACTTAACATCTGGTGACATTTTTAGCCAACATGGTCTTACTGCAACATTTTGCACTCTCCCATGTCTGCTGAGTATGTGCATTACCAGCCGTAGGGCCCAAGGGTTTCCAAGGAAAGCTGTTTTGGAACTCATGTGTCCGTCACAGCTGTTTCAGAAGAGCTGCAGCTGTACTGCCAAAGAGTCAAATTTACTGCCTCTTCCTTCCATGATCAACATAAATACCCCCTAAAGAGTTTGAAATACCTGCTCCTTGGTATGAAGTCAGGTATGCAGTTAAAACTCGTTAGGGAAGTTCTCGTGTGGGTGACTCGAGAGAGGCTTACAGAATCATAGAACAGTTTTGGCTGGAAGAGACCTTCAAGATCATCAAGTCCAACCTTTTCCCAGCCCTGTCAACACCACTGACCCATGTCCCTCAGCACAACGTCCACCCTTCTCTTAAACACCTCCACGGATGGCGACTCAAATCGCTCCCTGGGCAGCCTGTTCCAATGCCTGACAACCCTCTGAGTAAAGAAATTCTTCCTAATATCCAACCTGAACCTCGCCTGGTGCAACTTAAGGCCATTTCCCCTCATCCTATCACTCACCACTGGGGCCAACAGACCAAGCCCTGCCTCGCTACAACCTCCTTCCAAGTAGTTGTAGAGAGCGATAAGGTCTCTCCTCAATCTCCTCCAGGCTAAACAGCCCCACATCCCTCAGCCTTTCCTCATAGGACCTAAATTCCAAACCCTTCACCAGCGTGGCAGCCGCCTCTGTACCCTCTCCAGCACCTCCATGTCCCTTTGGTAGTGAGGGGCCCAAAACTGGACGCAGGACTCGAGGTGCAGCCTCACCAAAGCTGAGTAGAGGGGAATGATCACCAATGATCATCTCACTATAAGGAGGGAGAGACAGATTTCATTCTGCAGTGAGTAAACTTAATGTCTTTCGTTACTGCAGATGGAGCTTTTTATTATCTTAAATAATGGCTTTCTGAGTTTTAGCAGTTGTGTGAGTTTCTAGGTGCTTTTGAGGTAAGTGAGAATCCTGAAGGCCTGCGTGCCACATCCCTAAGCCAAGATGTTAGGAATTTCTTCACAGGTGGCCTTGGCTTTCCAGGGCACTGCCTGGATTATTTGGTAAATCAGTGTTTGCTAGCTCGTAGCTGTAGCAAATGCGGAACCAAACCAGAAAATTAATGGGCTTTTGTTCTCTTTAGGTGTTTGTGAGTTGCAATTTCTGTGGGAAATCAATCTCTTACAGCTGTTCAGCTATCCCTCATCAGGGGCGAGGCTTCAGCCAGTACGGAGTTAGCGGTTCACCGACTAAGTCAAAAGTTACAAGCTGTCCTGGTTGCCGGAAACCCCTTCCTCGCTGTGCGCTTTGCTTGATAAATATGGGAACGCCAGTTTCCAGCTGTCCAGGTATGACCCAGTGGGTTTTAGTTTTTCAACAGGAGTGCTAGTAGAGGCCTCATTAGCAGTTCCTGTTGGAAGATCTTCAGTTGCATCTTTTTCTTTCTGTTTGTGCTCATACTCTAAATATTCATACTCGTCATTTTGAGGGAGGAAGACTGTAATCATAGAGTCATAGAATCATAGACTCACAGAACTGTCAGGGTTGGAAGGGACCTCAAAGATGATCCAGTTCCAACCCCCTGCCATGGGCAGGGACATCCCCCACTGGCTCAGGCTGCCCAGAGCCCCATCCAGCCTGGCCTGAAAAACTCCCAGGGATGGGGCTGCCACCCCCTCTCTGGGCAACCTGTGCCAGGGTCTCACCACCCTCATGGGGAAGAACTTCTTCCCAACGTCCCACCTGAACCGACCCATCTCCAGCTTCAATCCATTCCCTCCAGTCCTGTCACTGCCCGACATCCTCACAAGCCCCTCCCCAGCTTTCTTGTAGCCCCCTGGAGATCCTGGAAGCCACAATAAGGTCTCCTGGGAGCCTTCTTTTCTGCAGATTGAACAGCCCCAACTTTTGCATCCGTCTGATTTTATGATGAAACCTCTGTCTCAGTTTTTTGGTGGCAGGCAGTGCACACAGCTACTTGCTTCTGGCATTTTTTCCGGGGATTGTTAGTGAAATTCCATAGTTAAGAGAGATGAAGAGATTCAAGTACTGTGAGCTTTAAAACTGTAGAAATGGGAGGTGTGTTTTCTTGAGGTGATTTTTTTTTTTATAAGCAGAATGTTTCATGTGCAGTAAAACAGGTCTATTCACTGTAACATAAATCAATTACTGAAACATAAATCACTGTTGAAAGAGATTCTGTCTGTAAAATTTGTTTAATAGCCAAGTTTGTCACGTCCGTAAGATGTGAAACAACAGCGCACCAATGTAATTTTTGGGTTGGCATTCCATCAGTTCTGAATCATTTTACTGACTTCTCGTTTAAAATCAGGCCACATCTTCACACGATGTTCCTCGTTTCAAATTGATTCTAACGGTGTTACTGGAACTGAAATATAAATGAAGCGTTAACGACTTACAGGCATATTTGTGGGGGCGGGTTTGCCTCTGCACAGGGGGATCCAAGTCCGATGAAAAAGTGGATCTTAGCAAAGACAAGAAGTTAGCCCAGTTCAACAACTGGTTTACGTGGTGTCACAACTGTAGGCACGGTGGCCACGCTGGCCATATGCTCAGCTGGTTCAGGTAAGTTGATGTTAAAATCTTTATTTCACGGGCGTGTGCTGTCCTGAGGAGCAGGATGTGCCTCGCTCTACCTGTCTTTACAACATTTTGTTGGTTTTGAACGTACACAAGACTTAACTACGATGCTGAGGCTTTCAGTGATACTGTCCCTGCCCATACAGAAGTGTTCAGATCACAAAATTATTGGACATTAGTTTTATTTTACCTGCTCTTTCTTTCTTTCTGCTTTTGTTATCTAGGGACCACACGGAGTGCCCGGTTTCTGCCTGCTCCTGTAAGTGCATGCAGCTGGATACCACAGGGAATCTCATTCCAGCAGAGACTGTCCAGGCATAAATATGCTGGAAAAGATGGATGTTCATCACGGTCCAAGAGTATATTCTAGATGAAGGTAACTTGTGACTTCCTGACTGTGAAAAAATAAATTGCTGTCAGATTAGTAAAATGATGTGTGTGACTGTGCTTGGTAGAAACAGGTAATTCCTGAAGATGAGCCTTGGGTGTGGGATGTGGTCCTCGTTCAGAGGATCAAAGCAGTTCGGTTCAAAAGGACTCCTGGAATTGTGGACGCTCTGGATTGGCTAAAATCCAGCAAACTTTTACTGAGGTTTTGAGGGTAGTGCTGCTGGGCCCTTTGATTTGTTTTGCAAACAAAGCAGTGTTTATATGCTGTGAAAACGGGCCTTCACAATAAACACCTTAAAGGTGTCCTTCAGAAGATCACAAAGTGGATTCTTCTGTTCTTTGTTTAATCACATTTCTTGTATGCAAGTGTTCATTCTTTGCCAGGTCAATCAGAGTGCTGTTGGTGTATTCTAAAGATTTTTATTTTACAGAAAAATTCCTCTCTGTTTCCAAGTGTCAAGGTCTTATTTAATTTAGCTACAGACCTAGCTGATGTGAATTTTAATGCTAAAGAATTTGAGTTTTTTTTTCTCCTAGTGATATCTATACCCTAGAGGAGAGTTCCCTGAAAAGTCTTTCAGTGCAGAGCGCAGGTGAACTGGAGGAGGTTTCATTTGATTGATTAATTTTTAACATAATACTGTGAAGATCTGAAATCTCAAGGACTGGAGACTTACAAATATTTAAGTTTTAAACTACAAAAAAAAAATAATTGAAGGCTTTTGGATAATCAGCATTTCCCTGTACTTGTGAAATATGCTGGGAAGTGTGAAATGAACTGGTATAAATCTTGCTTCTGGTCACTAGGAGACACTGATTTGCCCCCAAAAGGCTGCACAATTTTAGGTCATGGACCAGAAGTAGTTCGAAACGTTACCAGTTGGAATTAAGTTTATTTATTAATTTGAGAGAGAGAGTCAATGAGATTTTGCTAATAATGTGCTGGGAGCTAATCACTGTTGTTGTCCTTGATTTGGTAGGCAACAAAATTCACACAAATTAGGGGACAAAAAAACCTGTTTTAAGGTATGTGATGATAATAACATCAGTTTACTTGGTGTGTGTTTATTTACTAGTAGAAACAGTGTATGAGTTATTTAACACTTGCGTGCTATGAAATACTAAATGGAATAAACTGGTACCCTATTGCCAGGACTGTGAAAATCGGTGTTTTAAAAGAGAATATGTTGTACTGTACGACTAGTTCTAAGTGCTGCAGTGTAGTTGCAACAACATAGACCGTGGAAATGTTTTCTGTAGGTGGACAGGATTACATTCAGGACTCTGGGTTCTGCTTTCTGACTTAACTTTAATGTTGTAATGCATCTGCTACATTTATTCTGACCGAAAATTCTTGCCTAATTGAGAAAGATCTTTTCTAAGCTAAAAATCTCTGAGGTACTTGTTATTTTTAAGCATGGGAGAGCAGTTTGAGGTTTTTTCTTGTTATTTTTGCACACATCATGTTGCAGGTTGAAGAGCTCTTCAAAATGTTCTCCATTTGTAAATGTAAACTGGGGTTTAATGTATGATACTCTGTTTTTATAAATACAGGCAATAAAACTTCTGCTTTATGGAAATTAGGATTTCTAAGTGTCAAGGATATGTTTTTATTCCTCTGTAGTGACAACATTTCGTAAATTTTCCTGATAAACTCCATGTCCAGGTGGATGCAACTAATAGATATCTCTTTTTCTTGTGAAAAGAAAAACTCATTTCTAATGTTTTCAGCTTGGCTGTACCTGTTTGTGCCAAATTCTATGACTTCATTAAATTAGATACTTTGATACTCAGCATGTCTTTGAAATGTTTTGGATTATGAGTGTGTGTGTACTCTGGCACAATATAACTATTAGTTTTGGCTGTTGTCCTTTTGTAATTGCTAATCAGGCTTTCAGGCCAGTGATTGCAGTATTTGCAAAATGTACAAAGTCAGGTCTATGTTTTTTTAATGATCACGTATTTTCCTTGTTTTGCTTTTGAATAAAGCTGTGGTTTTGGGGGTAGTTTGTTGTCTTTAACAACCGTTCACAGGTATTTTATTAGCAGCAGTTCCCTTGTTTTTTACTGTTTCCTGCTATCTGCTCAACTCCGATAGAGTTAATCAGATGGAGGTGGTCTCTTCCTCCATTCCAGCTTCACAGACTTTCTGTACTGCACCCAAGCGGGGTGTAAAACTGCTCCCTCCCAGGGCTGTCACAGCAGCGAAGGGAAGTCACAGGAGCTTGCTGGCCCACCAGGGCTGTGCCAGCTTCCTCACCTGGGAGCCCTTCAGTCCCACCGCTGCAGGGCTTTGAGGAGTGACTTAACCACTGACCGATGACTTCCATATCCAACACAGGCCAAGAAAAGGTTTGTGTGGGCACCTGGATTGCAGCGTGGCCCTTGGGACAGTGTCAAGCTCTCGTGACTCCACACAAGAGCCGGTGGGATGCAGCTGTGTCACTGCCCTCCCAAAGTCCAGAGATTCTTTCACCCCATCTGTAGCTTCCCTAAGACTCATAAACCCACTGTTTCCCACTGGATTATGTGTGAGGTCTGGCGGTGTCTCTCACTGGGTTGGCAGCCCCGCGGTTATTCCTGTCCCCTGGGTCGCAGGCAGGGCTGGCCGTCTCCCACAGTGCTCCCCAGTAAGGGCAGCTCTGACCTGAGCGTTACCCTCATATCAAGAATATTTTGCGGTTCTTCACATCGCTGTCTCGTTAGTGTCACTAGTAGCCAGGGTAGGCCATTTATTCACAAACCTTGGTAGCTGTAGAGAAGCAGATGAATGAAAAAGCACGTGGCGGAAAGCCACGGTAGTTAGTTAGTTGTACACTGCTTGCCTAAACACCTTCTCGGGGTTGTGGGACTGGAGGAGCAAGGGGAGTCTTGACTGCCAAGGGGAAGCTGCATAAAATGACTTTTTATTCTGCTGAGCACTAAAATACAGCTGTGGTAGCGCTCCAGGACAGAGCAGGGCCTCCCAGCACTTCAGGATGTGCTCATGGTAGTGCTGGGTAGGCTGCTGGGCTAGATGATCTCAGGAGATCTTTTCCAACCTTAACGATCCTGTGATCCTGTGCCACACAGACCTCGTGTTCTTGTTTGCTGTATGACACCGACTCCTCCTTCCCTGGGACAGCAGATTGTCACTGTCTGCCTTCTAAGTAGAGGGAACAAAAAATAGCTCACCTGGTTAAGCCAATCATCCACCCGCGTTGCAGTAACCTGGATAAATATGAAGTCTTTGAGACAAATTCCTCAGCCAGAAACAAAGATGTCTATAAGTACAAAGCTAGCGAGTTTAGTAAGGCACTAAATCTAGCTGTTAAACCTGAAATCTGTTTGGATGAAAGGTTGATGAATGTGGCGAAGGTTTACTTGCAATACTTAGAAATATATTACTTATTAATTGCTAGAGAGTATTTCCAAAGTTTTAACTTTGATTGTGTTACCTTAAGAAACGTAAGAATTCTGTTATGTGCTGCAAGTACCCTGGATAGTAACAAAATTGGGAACTGTGGAAGGTTGTATGAGTAAAGTCATCAGGGAAATTTGGCTGAGTCTAGTACTTCTGCTTAGACTCCACCAAGAGCAAAGGCTGGGATGGGACCTCGGCAGCACTTCAAATCCCCAAACCTAACTAGATTCTTTCCAAGTATTTAACATCAGTGCAAAAGGCAGGTACCTCGTACTCCACTTGGTTAAAACTACCTGTGCCAGGTAAAATACAACAGGAGTCAGCGTGTGTCACCGAAAGTCAGGCTCTAAGATACAATATTGACACAAACGTAGTAAAATCTTTTTTTATTGGAGACCATTTTCAAGATGCAAAATACGTCCGTTCCGTAAGTTTATATCAAAGCAAATTAAAAAAATATCTTTACACTATAACCCCACCAACTGTCTTCGAGTTTCCTCCTGGAACCTCAGCTACCACCACCAAGATGCCTATAACACAGCTTCAGTTTCTAGCAAGTCCAGTCCTGAGAGAGAACGGTCCTCCTGGATGCGTAAGGGTTATATATACACAGGCAGCGAGATGTCCACGCAAGGGTTCTT